TAAAGATAGGTACAGCTGTAGGCGATGACTTTCAACGAGACATGGTGAAACGACTTCTATTCACTTACCGCGATATCAATGGAGTTGAGCTAGAGCAACTAGTCCCAACAGACCTCTATGTTCATAGAGTTAGGATCAGAGAGGGGACTAAACCATTTTCAAAAGTCAAGCAGAAAAGGTGGCCTCCAGGGAAGGAGTTTTGGCTTCAAAAAATTGTTAATGAGGGGCTATCGTGTGGAATGTTCGAAAAGACCATGGCAGCAAATGGAAAGTTGTCAGATTGGAACGCGCAGGCCGTCATAGTGGACAAGAGCGACAATCCCGGACCTTGGGATGAGCCGAGAATTACGTTTAACTACCAGAATGTGAAGGAAGACATGCCAGGATGCTACCTGGAATTGATGGCCAAAGTACACGACCATTTGTCTCACCCCTCACACAAATTTTTTCTGAAGTTTGATGTGAAACACGGCTATTGGAATATCCTCGTTCATCCCGAAGATCGACATTTTTTTGCATTCACCATAGCCGGCATTGGCCAAGTTCAGCCGACTCGGATGCCTCAAGGATCCATGAGCGCAGGATTCTCCTTCACGGAGCTAATGTACATTGTGCTTGGTGACATTCCACCTGGTCAAAATCAATTTCCGGGCATGAAGTCTGTACTGGTGCCCGAAGATAATAGTAGTCCTCCAAAAGCCTCATTCTACATTGATGACATGTTTTCCGGTTTTCAAAACTTCAAGGATGCCTATGATTTTATGGCGGATGAATTGTTTCCTCGACTAGAGTGGTCACGTCTCAAACTATCATTTAAAAAGATGGAGCTATTCAAGGAAGAAGTTGTGGCTCTAGGAACGCTTCATAAGAAGGGCGGCATTGTGTGTGTAACTCCTGAGAGACGAGACAAGATTCGGATATGGCCTACCCCGACAAATGCATCAGAGGTTCGTGCTTTTCTTGGGGCGATTAATATGACTCGACGATGGGTTAAAAACTTCGCTGAGATAAAGGTTCCATTGTCAAGACTTACCGGTAACGGTGACTGGCGGTGGGGAGAGGCAGAGCAAGTTTCCTTCCAATTACTACAGGAGAAATGCTCCGGTGCAATTGAAATGCATGGTTGGAACTTCAAAGAGTCAACGGTCATGTACTCAGATGCGAGCAACTTTGGAGCTGGCTGTGCTGTAACCCAGTCAAGGATCATTGGGGGTAAACGAGCTGAAGTTCCGATCCTTTATGACGCTTTCACATTCACAAAATGTCAACGAAATTACGGGACGTATAAAAGAGAGCTGTGCGCTATCGTGGAATTCTGCAGGAAATATGATTATATGTTCAGGTCGCCGATTCAGGGGACAATCTTTACCGATCATCACCCGCTTACCTACTTCTTGAAATCATCTTGTCTTGATGGTATATATGCAAGGTGGGCAAGCGAACTTAGATTTCTGAACATTGAAATTGCGTGGATACCTGGGTCACGGAACCCAATCGCGGATGCTCTTTCTCGGACTATCTTCCCGGGTGAAATAGGAAAAACGAAGGAATTAACGGAATTTGGTGATCTGGTCAACGAGAATGGAGACCCTAAATGGATTTGGAAGGATGGTACAAATGGATACGAAACATTGCTGAAATCTATCGGTGAACCATTAAAAGAGGAGGATCTTAGGGCGTTGTTCCTGGGTGATATGGCTAGGAAGGATCTTGATTCGAAGATGGCAAGTATAAGCTTGCTTATAAAGGAATTGGGAGAGACAGTGCCTACGCATGTAGCATTTGAACTCCTGAATTCGCTGTCCGAAATATCCACAGGAGTCTACAAATCTTCCTGGGTTTCCGCAGGGGCGGAAGCTATGGGGGGGAGTAACTGTCTCATTTCTAACGTCTCAGACAGCCAAGTCCCATCCACAGTGCCTCAGTATAACAGTGCACCATGGGTCAAAAATGTGATAAGGACAAAAACCATTGCGCCTCACACGAGGTTCTCTGACTCAATATGGTATAAAGAGATCTCAATATATCTGAAGACGGGAATAGCTCCCAAGAAGATCCAAACGAAAGTCCACCAAGCGGCGTTCCTCAAGAAGGCGAGTAAGTATCAAGTACAGGGACCCGAAAGAGTACTCTATCTTGATGTTCAGGGAGTTCTTAAACGCTGCATAACCGAAAAGGAAGTCTCATCACTGTTGTTGCAAGCTCATGACAATGGGGGACACTTCGCCTCATCCATCACAATGCGCAAACTATCGAAGTATTATTGGCCTGCTATGGTTAAAGATGTTCGTGACTACATTGCAGGATGTCTGGTGTGTGCCAAACATGGAACAGCAGTGAGATCACAGAAAATGGCGCGAGTGTCAATAAGTACCCCGATGGAACTACTTGGAATCGATTTCATAGGCCCTTTTCCGAAGTTCGAGGGAGTAGAAGTGTATTACATCCTTGTGGTAGTGGACTATTTCTCCCGGTTCGTGTGGTCGCAAGCAACAAAATCTGACAACTCAGAATCTGTTATTTCTACACTGGAGCGAATTTTCTTGGAGAATGGAGTTCCCACAGGTATCTACTCGGATCCTGGCGCTCATTTTGGGAAGGACACACAGCGGTTTGCGGAATCCCGTGGAGTTATGTGGTGCACGTCACCTGTTGCAGCAAAGAAAGCTACTGGTATGGTAGAGAAAGCCGTCGACATTCTACAACGAGCCTTGAAGAAGAACGCTCGTGATCCATCGAGATGGCCAACGATCCTATCAAAATCCACGTTTGATGTAAACAGGAGGGACATACTACACCTTGGGTTTTCTCCCCACGAAATTCTTAAGGGCTTCGCACCTGATGGGAATCTCGAAGCTGTGTTTCCCTCAAACCATCGAGAGAGTCTGAAGTCATTATTGAGTACAGGAACGCCAGATGTGTTTCCTGAAGATGACGATGTGCATGGAGACCTAGTTATAGACTTTATCCTTAACCGTGAAGAGACGAGGCGAACTGCGCTGATCAGGTCAGATTCGCAAAAAGATCGTGCAAAAGACCGACATAATCTGGGCGTACGAGCTGGGCATGTCTATGTACCAGGGAGTCTAGTGATGTTATGGGACGCCAAAGCCGCTGGGAAAAAGCTCAGACCGGCATGGAGAGGGCCGTTTGTCGTTGTGGGTTATGGAGGTGACATGGAGCGCTCATTCATACTAAGACAGGTCGATGGGTCACGAATCCCAAGGCATTACTACGGAGACCATCTCAAGCCTTTTCGACTTCGAGAGGGCTATCTCATAACTCAAGAGGAGGAGGAGATTCCGGTCTATCAGAACCTTCGGTTAGGGAATGCGGCTTTTAAATTGCCAAAGTATGTCGAAAAGGTCCGTGGTGTTCATGACGCATGAGAAAGCTATTTACTGTTGTGGAGTCACCTTCTGGGAGTGCATGTCAGCACGATTGAGCCGTGAGGAGCTATGGCATTTTAGCAGGGACAAACGATCAACACTAAACGGAGCTCGTCATCACGAGATGCAGATGGACAGAGATGATATGGCGTTTCAGTAGCTAAGGGCACGTAGTCTTCGCGGGTGCTTCGTCCTGTGGGGGGGAGTAGTTAATGAGCCAGACCTAAGGGGTTGGTCTGGTGGTTGCCGGGTGGACCGTGGATCGCCATACTGTACTTAGATTCTCTGTCTCCATAGAATGAAACGAATGCCCCCTTCCCACTTTTATTCAAGACAATTTACTGGTAGCGGATAACTTCTTTTTTTTTTTTGCATCAGATTTTAATTGCGTGTGCAGCTATCTAGTTATGACACAATATCAAAGAAAAGTACAGAATAGATGATTCAACGTAAAGGAAGAGCACTCATGACTCGGATTTCATTTGCAAGTACCACTGCGAAGTTATGATGGCTTTTTCTGCGCCCCAAGTCAACCCTCATCCGTTAATACCCAGCCAGGGAAACGTCTCAAAAATCCTGAGTTATCCAGACATGCCCCCATCATCTTTCAACCTTTCTCCGCGCGATATGTGATCTGAGATGTCTCTTTCCCAAGTAGAGTAGGTGCCAAGGCTACTCAAACCATACCAGAGAACACCACCAGGAGGCGGATCACTACACCCTCCATCGTTGGCCTGTGTTTATAGTGTCAGCTGCACTCTCGCAATCGAAGTCTTGGCGCGCACAAAGTTCAATTCGTAAAACTCATTGCCAAACTTCGAAATTTCACGCCCGTCGAAAACGTATCCCTCTTCTGCATCATCTTGTAAACTTGTTCTAATCCCTCTCACGTCCATCCCAAAGAGCTATCTCTCAGATTTATGCTCCACGCTTTGCTTCCTCCGTCGGGTATAAATATCGGCGTGGGCATGTATTTGGTGACCGGCTGAGGCCAGAGAAAGTCGACGAGAGGTGTGGTCATTGAAACGAGGATGTACTATGTCGTACTTGTAGACTTGATGAAGCTTAATTGAGAATCGGACTCTTTGGGAGTGAAAGATTGACATGGTGGAGTAATTCGAATTTTTGCCTCGTGGGCCAACTTCTTTGATATTGCGAAATTTGACTAAACTTGGCTCTGGGGGAATATTTCACTCCCAGATCTGTAGAGGACACCGCGTACAGGTGTTCAGTCTTGCCCTCCAGCGGAGAACTTCGTAGACTTATCAGAGACAAAAGTCCTCATGGCTAGTGTTCGACTCATTCTTAATTCTGTAGAATATATTCGGAGGCAACAACTTTAATAGGCAGAGTTTTCTTTCCCTCAATATATGGTGTCAGAGTCTTTCATCAGCACCGCTGATGCAGAAATAATTCTTTTAATCTAATGATATCGACCTGTACACAACTCATATCTCTACACCAATGGGTAATTTAGCTGATGGATGTTGGAAGATTGCTAATTGGTAGATAAGTCATCGACGCGTCACGGGCGACACTTGCAAAATTGAATTAAGCGCCTAGGCTCGCCTAGTTTGAGTACATTGGTTACAAACTCTTGTCGGATTATTGATGGTCACACGCTGCTTATACATGGACAAGTTTCTTCCCAGGAAACGTCAGAAATATCTCGCGGACGGGGAGATAGATAATTCAACTGAATACAAGTTGACAATTCTTCAGTCATTGTACCCCCACCTCGAGCCAGATGTGTTGCTTGACCTGCTGGCAGCCCACAACGGCTCGCTCTCTCTAACAACGTCTACCCTCTCTAACCCTACCCCACTTAAGTGTACAGCAATCAATGGTCACCAAACCTCGTTATCATCTTACTTGATATCAACATCGTCTCCTTCCAAGATACACAAGGCTAGCTTCCGGAAAGGCAAGACGGTGCACCTATATTGTCCAGAGGACGTGGCAGCCCATACTCCTTGCACCATAATCCACAATTTCCTTGCCGCTGACGAGGCCAACTCGCTACTAATAGAACTACTTGAAGAATCTACAACCTTTGAAAAGAATACATTCAAACTTTTTGACAATGTGGTCAAAAGTCCACACACAGCGTGCTTCTACGTCAATGATCACGAAGAAGTCATTCGACAAAAGACTAAGTATTATTACAACGGGAAGCTACTTTCTGTAAGCTTGGCTCGTCTCGGAACTTTCAAGGTATCATGAAAAAGCTGATTCGAAAAGGATATCCGTCAACACACCCCTCAGATGCTCCAAATCTCTCCCAAAATAGCTGCTTCTGTCAATACTGAGGTATCAAGACGCATTAAGACTTACCCGAATGGATTAAAACTCCATCATCAGTCCCCAAAGCCTTGGTGTCCTAACGCCGCTTTTGTAAATTGCTACAACGGACCCAGCGAAAGTGTGGGCTACCATAGTGATCAATTAACGTATATTGGGCCCCGAGCTATCATTGGTTCACTTTCTCTGGGCGTTTCTCGAGAGTTTAGACTGCGAAAAATTTCATTACGAGAATCAGGCTCAGAATCCAAGACTGAGAGTGGAAAATTGATGGAATCTGATGGGCAAATTTCGATTCATCTTCCTCACAATTCTCTATTGGTTATGCACGCTGAAATGCAAGAAGAATGGAAGCATTGTATTGCACCCGCAAGTGCCATTGATTTTCATCCCATCTCTGGAAGTAAGCGCATAAATATCACCTACCGGGACTATCGTGCAAGTTTACACCCTCGATATACACCAGTGTGCCGATGTCATATTCCTATGCTTCTACGCACTGTACAGCAACAGAAGAATAATTTAGGACGTTATTTCTGGATGTGTCAGTCTGCTAGTATTCCAGGCATGGAAAGCTGTGGGGACTTTCAATGGGCTGAGTTCGATAAGGACGGAGAGCCAGTATGGAACGATAACAAGAAAGATCAGAGGCCCTCTGATGCTAAGGAACTCCAGAATTAAAAACAGGACTTACAGTGAGCTGTATGCATATGTGTTGTTACGTGGCATTGTATTTGTGGGTCGTCAAAAAATCCATCTTGACTCTAGCGGGAAAGTGCAAGAGAGTAAGCACGCTAAGTTAAAGTGTTTTCTATACTTCAGATCACATAAAAATGTAGGCGGGCTAGCAAAGGGCTGCAAACAAACACGTTTTCAAATCATCAAGCTAAATTAGAATTTCCCATTTGTCATGCTGATAAGAGAGCAATAGTTATGTCATCTATTATTGCTTAATATATGATGATTACAACTTTCTTAGATACGCTGCAGCATATCTTGCCAACCATTCCTTGGTCTCGTTGACCTGATGTGATAACGAGAGTTACTTATGAGCTTCATATTTTTTTTTTATTTTTTGTAGATGTAGCTAGCTTTATTATTTAATGCGGTGTCAGCTCAAAACATAATCCCAAGGTCTTTCTATGGCATATTTACTCTATACAAACTACATGACGGGGGTGTATGCAGCCACTTAGCTCTAACACATGATTGATTGAATTTAATTTAAGTCTCTACTGAATCTATGACTATGAGGGACTCAACACATGATTAGTGCTATATGCACATATTTGATGACTCTATTGTCATTGAAGATACTGTTTGGGATAAGTTACGTCACTGCATACAAGAACTTGATCCTGAATTACAGGCTACGGTCTCGGTTGTATGGGTACATACAAACGTTTGACACACATAGTGTCAGGATTGCCTTCTGTATAATCTATGTGTGGAGATAACCAGAATCTCGTGTTCTATGATGCTGGCCTGGCCTTTTAGCCGAGCGGTTGTGCACCCATCTCATGCATAATGTAGGATGGCACCCTCTAGCCTGAATACCACCTTTGAGACCCATGTCTCCTCCCTGCTGTCTGCATGCTGCTCTGACACATAGGAAACTAGCCTTAGCATGTGTATTGCAAAGCGCCATGTCTTTCACTTGCACACACACAAGCGCATTGATGCACGCGGAATAGCGTGGCAATTTAACCTGTATTGCCGGTGATTTCTAGATGTGATACTGAGTGGGTTGATGACGTGAGAATATTGAGGGTGAATAGATAAAAGGCGGCTAGAACTGAAGGAAGACAAGGTTAGCGTTAAGGGCGAGGAGAATTACGGACTTCGCAAGTTTATGTGTTTTTATTGTACTACTTGAGCCTATGACTATCTAGCACATTGGGCTCCTCTCTAACCCAGGCCACACCTTGTACAGTGCTCCCATCCTCTTTTACTACTTGAAAGATCATTGATATATTCCCCGTGATGAATAGCCATTCAGCTCAGTGTTTACCCGAGGAATTCGGCCATCTTTTTCCACGGAACCTTCTACCCGAAAAAAACAAAAAAAAGGTAGCAATGGAAACTGCATGCGCGGGAAAATGTCTCAAAACCCCTACATCCTCAGCTAGGCCAGGTCTGGACACCGGCACCGCATGAGGTGCGCATAATCATCTATATATTCCTTCTCTGTAACGGTGGAGGCCGACTTATCCAATCTGCCATCTCCGTATCGGGTGCTGGGTATGCTCCGGAAACTCATCGGATGGCATCTCCTCCATGATCAAGGGTCTGTGATGAGTAGGGCTCCGACTCTACCATCTGATCTGATCGTGGGTAGCTTCATGATAGTGGTGATAGGGGAATGTGTTGAGAGATGAAGACGATATAGACCGCGAAAGCGATTGGGAATCCTTGTCGGTGTGAGGACTTTGTTACTCAATCTCGGCTCTGCAGACTCTACAGTGAGAGCTGGAGATTCGTAGGGGACATCACTTACAGGTGTTGAGAATAGTCCCCCTGGACTCCGCAAGTACACAGTACCACAAAATATCAATCTTTTTCTGTATGGCTTGATAACAGGAAATGCGTTTCATTATATATGACCTCTGCAGCTACTAGTGATCTAGATTCCCGACTCGTATTCCTTCGCTACTGAGTGATCTGTTTCCTAGCCTCAGCATAATTCACTGTTTATATAGAGTGGTGGGGAACGACGAAGGGTTGTTTTTCCCGTGATTAACATACTTGAATGAGGCTGGGTTATCTTTCAGGCCCAGCTTAACCGAATGGGGCACAGCGCCTAACAATTTTTTTTATCAGATTTTAGAGGCACATGCAGCTATCTAACTATGACTCAATGTACCAGAAGAGCAATTCTGCCTCGGATTTTATTTGCAAGTACCACTGCGAAGTTATGAAGGCTTTTTCTTCACTCCAATTCAACCATCATCCGTTAATACCCAGCCAGGGAAACGTCTCAAAAACCCTGAGTTATCCAGACATGCCTCCATCATCTTTCAACTTTTCTCCGCGCGATATGTGATCTGAGATGTCTCCTTCCCAAGTGGAGTAGGTGTCCAGGCTACTCAAACCATACCAGAGAACACCACCAGGAGGCGGATCACTACACCCTCCATCGTTGGCCTGTGTTTAAAGTGTCAGCTGCACTCTCGCAATCGAAGTCTTGGCGCGCACAAAGTTCAATTCGTAAAACTCATTGCCAAACTTCGAAATTTCACGCCCGTCGAAAACGTATCCCTCTTCTGCATCATCTTGTAAACTTGTCCTAATCCCTCTCACGTCCATCCCAAAGAGCTATCTCTCAGATTTGTGCTCCACGCTTTGCTTCCTCCGTCGGGTATAAATATCGGCGTGGGCATGTATTTGGTGACCGGCTGAGGCCAGAGAAAGTCGACGAGAGGTGTGGTCATTGAAACGAGGATGTACTATGTCGTACTTGTAGACTTGATGAAGCTTAATTGAGAATCGGACTCTTTGGGAGTGAAAGATTGACATGGTGGAATAATTCGAATTTTTGCCTCGTGGGCCAACTTCTTTGATATTGCGAAATTTGACTAAACTTGGCTCTGGGGGAATATTTCACTCCCAGATCTGTAGAGAATACCGCGTACAGGTGTTTAGTCTTGCCCTCCATCTCCTAACATTATCCCTCCGCTCTTGGGGGTATTTTTTTTGAAAGCCTTGTCGCGCCCTCTTCGTTCTCTCCAATCTCCAAATCCGCAACCAAATTTGCTTTCGAATAAGCCCAACTCTTTAACGTCTTCCAGGGGGACTATTCTCAACACCTGTCACTGGTGTCCCCTACGAACCTCCAGCTCTCACTGTAGAGTCTGCAGAGCCGAGATTGAGTAACACCTTATCAACTTTGAGCTGAGTTATCTCCCTCTCTGTCAAAGATACGCTTCCGATAACAAATAAGACGACCAAGATGCTGATGATGATGATGCTGGGGAAGAGGAAAGATAATGCGGTACCAAACGCTACAACGGTAGTCAGAGATGCCCTCGTTATATCACAACATGTGCTACCCATTGGCGGGCAATCAAAAGGCCCACGAAAGCAAAGTAAAGGACCCTCCCGCCCTCAAGAAAAGCAGATTTCGACTCGTCAATAGTATCGTTCCTACTAATCTATACCTCCGAATCTACTAGCCAGGAGGGCATCTGAAATGCATGAGTTACTTGACAATCTCACGTCCGTAACGAGTTTTGGGTGCCAGGCTAGGCTCCTTCACAGCAGTCACTCTCGACCAAGACTTGTCTGACATCCTTTCACGACTTTCGGTTTTCCTGTGATTTCAATCAGGGAAAGAGGAAGGAGGAGGCTAGGAAGGTTGAGAGACGCTCTTTGGTATACACAAGTTTGCTGCGCCCGGCTGGCCGGCCTCTTCGTCATAGGAGAGCCCCGCACCCAGTGGTTTTTGAGACTTTTCCCTGCAGCTACACACCCGAAAATGGCCATCGTTTAGTTGGCTGGAGAGGGGAGACAATGACGGGATAAAGGCTCCTCTTAGTGTGTACTCGAATGAAGACCTATGGGGGTATTACTGCTGAAAAGAAGTCGTGAGGGAGGCAAAGGAGGGAGCACACTACCCGAGGTATAAAAACTCCCGGCCTGTAGGCAGAAAGGACCTACATGTCCTTACATAATTATAGACTTTCTAGGACAATAAACAACCACTCACTCACGAGTACTAGCTCGACGCTAGTGTCAATAATAACACCAGCCGTCGCCATTCTTGGACAGTGATGTTACTGAGGTTTCTGTGCGCGCGTTTTGTACCTAGTAATTGGTGGGTGTGTGTGTAAGAATGAAATGCTATCACGTGGTGTTTCGTGGCCCATAACTACAATGGAACATGTGTAGAGCCTGAGACTAATCCGTGAACTCAATCTCCCTAAATGTAGGATTACAATGCGTCTATATACACCAATACTCTGTTACCCCCCAGCTCCAGTGAGATCTGCTCATGTGAGACCATAAGACACTAGCATTTTGTCTGTGTGCCGTACATCCAGAATCTGATCAACCCGTGACATGGTATATCTTTACAGGATCCACATTACTATGACAAATGGACCACCCCACCGCTGCTATAGCCTGCTTTCACCCGTATATGGAGAGCCATGGTAACAACCATGACAATATTTACATACATAATGCATGTAACGACAAATACATTAGTCTGCTTATTGCGCAAAAAAAGATGGCTAGAATCTGCGATGTGCGACGCAAGATATTCAGCATACCTAATTAAAAGACTAGTGTTTTGTGGTCTTTACAACTCCTCATCGCATGTGGGGCTCGAACCCACAGCCTCAAGATTTCAACCCAGGTAGAAGTCTTGCGCGCTACCATTGCGCCAATGCGACATATGTCCCCATCTTCTATTACTGTTACTAAATAAAATACAAACCGACTATTTAAGTATCAGACTTTCACCCTATTAATATGTCACTTTGTGTAAGCGCGACATCGTCGGAATCAGTATATATAACAGTCATTTGCGGCAGGGAACACCATTCGTGGGAAAAAGCGGCGTATAGGACCAACCAGGTCTACAAGAGAAGTGTGGAGAAGGCTCAGATGGAGCTTCTATCGAGAACGGCAGATATCTGGAATTAAAACTCAGCAATGACGCCAAGGCGAATAGCCGGAAC